GTAGCCACACAACTCAGCAACACGAAGAACACCAGCTATAACAGAAGGGACTCAGAAACATACGAGACAGTCAGCACGGAGCTGTGGTCGTGAACGCACAGCTACAAACGAATAGCGCACGACTTGTACATAGGGGACTATACAAGGCCTGGCTATTCAAAGGTAGAGCGACGCCACCCCACAGTACACCGTGAGTCAGCCGACGGCGGCGCCAGTTCGCCCACCAGCACCACGCCGAAGTCACCCAGCAGCCGCGCACCAACGGAGAAGCGCCGAAGTCACCCAGCAGCCGCGCTCCATGGGGAGCGTCAGTAACGGAGCTGTGGTCGTGAACGCACAGCTACAAACGAATAGCGCTCGACTTGTGGATAGGCGACTACACAAGGCTTGGCTATTCAAGGGTAGAGCGCCGCCACGCCACAGTCCACCGCGAACACGCGCGACAGCGACGCCCGATCGTGGGATAACAGTGCGCTGGCATAGCAGAGCGCCGACATCGCACAGAAGCAGAGGGCCGGCATAGTAACGCCGACGTCACATACTAGCAGAGCGCCGACACAGTAGCGCCGACGTCGCCTGGTAGCAGGGCACCGACGTCGCACAGAAGCAGAGCGCCGGCGTCGCACAGCGACAGAGCGGCGATACAGCAGCGCCGGCGTCGCACAGCGACAGAGCGGCGATACACAGCGCCGATAGAATAGCACCGTTAGGAATTTACGTCCCGTTAATGATATTATGTTTGTAATGTTAAGAATTTCCACGTGATAGAAAATAAGCAGCAATTAAATAAAGTACTATTTGCAAAGGCCCCACAATATAAATTTATTGTAACGGACCCTGGGCACGGCGAGTATACCCCAGCATAGAAAACAGAAGCATCGGGGCCTTAACAGGAAAACGCTTCGTTACACCAGTATGGATTAAATTGTCAATGACGGAGGAGGAGAATAAACGAGCCAAAATGTGGTTTTACAGGAGAACGCAATTCCCTGGCGTTATTATGTGTGTGGACGGCACGCACATTAAAATACTTCCTCCTGCAGACGAACCGTATTTGTATTACATTCGTAAGGGATACTACAGCCTAAATGCAATGGTGGTAAGTAAAACCACAAGAGCAAAGTGATTTGGTACGTGCAATTTATCGTAAATTTATTAAATAGATTTGCGATAACAAGATGCAAATAAGGTGTGTTGATGCTCGGTTTCCAGGCAGTAGCCACGACTCACATGTGTGGAATGTAAGCACTGCAAAAACCTATTTTGAAGAAAGATACCGGCAAGGAGACAAAACAACTTGGATATTATGTATGTTATAAGTGGAATTAGAGCACAATGTGTTAAATATAACTAAAAATATTTTGTTTAACAGGCGATGCTGAATATCCATTACAGCCGTGGTTAATTACACCATTCTGTTGTCCTGTGGCAGGAAGTCGAGAAAGCGCCTTCAATAAAACGCACAGTAAAGCGCGAAACATAGTCAAGAGAGTTATCGGCATTTTGAAAAATAGATTTCGATGCCTGCTAAGTGCTCGCCAACTACATTATTCGCCCCAAAAAGTGGTACAAATAATTAATGTGGTATGCGCATTGCATAACATGTGCATCCACTATAACGTAGAAGATAATACACCTGATATTATGGATGATGAATATCAAGATGTAAATGAAGAGGAAGCGCCATCAGAATTTTCCAGAGAAGCGTCAGACATAAGAATGCGAATTTTGAGATCATTACCTAACTAATGAAAAAAAAAAATAAAAAAATTAAAATAAATTCAGTTCTTTACTTAAAACTAAATATACAAAAAAATCAGTTGTTTTCTTAAATCTAATAGTTTGTACATATATACAGTTATCACAAGCGTTAGTTCATCTCTTAAGTTCAGTTCTTTTCTTAAATCTAATAGGTTTATACATACATAGCAAGCGTTAGTTCATTTCTTTTCTTAAATCTAATAGTTTATACATATATACTGATATCACAAACGTTAGTTCACTTCTTTAGTTCAGTTATATTCTTAAATCTAATAGTCTAAAATCCAATAATCTTTAAATAAAAAAAATTAAAAAATCAGTAGTTCAGTGCAAAATTAAATTAAATTCAAAAAAAAATCTTAAAAAAAATCTATCCATTAGTTCATTTTTGCTGTCTTCTTTCTTGTATCCGCAGTAATTTTTCCTGCAAATCAAGCTCCCTTCTTTAAGGGCCTCCATTTCAATATTGTGCCGCTTTAATTCACGCAATTTTTCCTTCTTCATGTCATGCAAGTTTTCTTGTACTTGGTACATGCGTCGCACGTTATCTGCCAGCTCGTTTGCAGACTCAGCCTGGCGTTCCAAAAAGGCCAAACTTTTTTGGTAGTAGCTTCGTTGCAAATTTATTTGCTCCTGTACCAAAGTGGCCGTGTCGTTTTTTTTACCGGAGGGGAATGCCACTGCACATTGGCTCGGTTGGCATAGGAACGACTGCCGCAGGTTCCACCACCGGTTGGGTAACCGTCTGTGTTGTTATCACTCCAAAAGAGACAGCTCCATTGATCCCCGATGTGTTAGTGTGCAAACCCGTTAACTCGATCACTTTTTCCTCCAACTCATTGAAATTGTGCATTCTGTTGGGTCCACCACCAGTTGCCCTCGTCTCTGCTTTATTGGCGGAAAGCCTTCATTCAGGCATACCAACATTATGAATTTCGAAGATGGTCTCCGAATTTCGAAATTACGATACGGCAACGCGGATTACAGCATACCAATTTTACGATTCGTAGCAAAATCGAATCTACGACGGATTACAGCATAGGGGTGGGTGTTGTTGTAGCCGGTATGGCTGCTGCGGTGGCAGCCGTCAAGTTGTGGTCGCCTGTTGTTGTAGTTGTACCTGGTTGTTGAGGCTGTTGTTACGCTCCTGGGTTAGCCGCTGTTGCTGTTGCGGCTAATGCCGCTGTTTGACGGTATTGTTGAGGTGGACGCGCTTTTCTCGGAGCCGCGTTTATATCCATATATATACGTAGGCTGTTTTGTTTTGGGTCCTATTCGCCGTGGTAATAATTAATACCCAGCTTAGTACATACTAATGTATAGATGTGCATACATTGCTATTGATTTCGTATTAACGCGAAAATACTTGTTAAAAATTGAAGTCGTGAATTTTTGTTGCGTTTTTTTTTTAAGATTTATTGTTTTATGATTCCCCTCCTTTCTTTGAATTAAAGCCTTATTATTTATCATTTGCTTATAAAAACACAAAAAAAAATAATAATATTTACTTAATATTAATTTATAATTAATTAAGTAGTTATTAGTTGCAACTGAATTTGTTTAGTTTTAATTTTCGCAGAATATTAAGGAAAAAATGGAATTACTGTTACTGTTTGAACTCATCAGTTTTTTTTTTTAATCGTATTATAAACTAGGATAGTGTAGGATTGTATAACATTGAAAGGTACTATTGATATAATAAACGAATATATATATTGTTTGTAAATAGATGAAGAGTTATTTATTCAAAATGAAGTGGTGAAGATCTAGTATTTGGCGTGGGTGTTACACTAGGGCCTAAGAGGGGACGTGGGAGCGTAGACTTATGACAGGACAGAGACAGGAGTGAAGGACCAATGGCTGCGTTTGAGGCACGCCGATGGGGAGGGACGACTCCACCTGACGGGACGGGCCTTCCCTTTTAACTGTCTTTCTTTGCTGCTTCAGTTCACTTTCTCCTCTTCTTGTTTTGATTTGAAATCAGGCATGCCAAAAAATTTGTGTATGTAGGGTTAGGTAAGGCGAGTGGCCTGGACCTGCCACCATGCCTGTAAACCACCTCGTCCTACCCAGCAGGCATCCTCATAACAATGTCCCCAACGATAATAGCCCACTAGTGTTTTTTTTTCGTTTCACCATATCTTTAAGTTAGACTTGTTATGGTATGCATACATTAGGAGCAGCAGTGAATGCGGTCGGCATAACACAATAGGGTGCACTATGGCTAGTCATGTCGGCTGGGCTGGGTTCTTGCATTCACCACTGTTCCCTGCGCCATAGCAGAGATCTTCGCTTCCGGCATGGCCGGAAGTATCGGACGAACACATAAAAAAAGATCAAAAATTCAAAAAAAAAGACAGTTACAAAAAAAAAACTGAAAAAAACGCTAAAATTAAATATTTGAAATAAAACCGAAAATCCAAAAGAAAATAAAATCCAACTACGAAAACTAAAATGAAAAGCAAATGAACGAAACGAGAAAAAAAACTATGGCGAATATGGTTGGGGGCCAGTGGTGCACCCTATTTCCGATGACCCCATTATTAAATTCCCTAATGTGCCTTCCTAAATAAAGTAAGTCAGCATTCCCATTTAAATAAATTTTTTATTTTATTTATTTATTCAGTTATGGAATACATAATTCTTACTAACTACGTCTTAATAATAAGCTCATACAAGTTTAACGACTAAGACTAATTTTATTGTGTTGCCTAACACCACTCCAGGAAGCAGGAGACCTATTTCTTTAAATTCATTAAGCTCCCTTTAATGTCCGTGCAATTGGTGAATTATGAGCATAGTTGGATCTGTAAGTACGGACATAAAATATCTCAAGATTTCCTGAGATTTCGAACCGGAATATTGAAACATATTCTACTTAAAATTTCCGCACAGTCAATAGTACCTACCAAGCCATTGATGAGAAACGAACATGACAAGGCTATTCTTCTACTCTGGAATAAATCTAAATTGATAAGAAGACAACGAGAGTTATTCAATTCTATTAATATAAGTGATTTGAAAGGGCCGCCATATAAAGGAGGCATATTCTAGAAGAAATCTAACAAAAGCTATATACAGCCTCTTGCGTGTATAGGGATCAGAAAAGTAGATACTGTTTCGGCGTACAAAAGCAAGCATAGCGTAACCATTGGCCACTATATAATTTATATGATCTGTAAATAGGAATTTATTGTCAAAGAACACTCCTAAGTTCTTAACTTGAGTAACTGACTCTAGTTTTGTGCCAGAAAAGTAATAACACGACTTTATGGTGTTGCACTTTTTTGAAAAAACTATTTGGTACAATTTTTTAACATTTAAATATAGCCGTTAACTCACACACTAAGAGTGCACCGTATTAATATCAGATTGAAGTAGGACTGAGTCCTCAGCTTTCGAAATGCTAGACTAGATTTTGAGATCATCCGCGTAAAGCAGGAATTTAGAGTGTAAAAAGCAAGTACTTATATCATTTATGAAGATAACGAAGAGAAGCGGTGCTAAAACATTGTGGAACTCCTGACGTTAAATGAAATGGCTGTGAGGTGATGTTATTAAGAACGACTGTACTACTCCTACCAGATAGGTACGACCCAATCCATTTGAGAAAAGTAGAATGAAATCCTAAAGCTGCTAATTTGCTAAGTTAAATTCTATGGGAAACCCTGTCGAACGCTTTCGCAAAGTCCGCATAAATGGTGTCCACCTGGAGTCCGGCCTCAAAGCTAGCGAGACAATCAGCAAAAATGGCGAGGTTAGAAACAGTAGATCTGCCATTCACGAAACCATGCTGAGACGAGGAAATTAAACTTGAAACAGCAAAATCTAGCTTAACTTTAACAACACACTCAAATAGTTTAGCAATCGTTGTCAACTTCGTTATTGGCCTATAATTAGAAACATCGTTCTTATGCAATCAGCATCAGTTTGTGTGGAGGCCTTGAGCACTGCGATTGCCTTTTGGACATCACATTCAGAGACACATAAACTACTAAAACACAATAGAGAATATAAAAAATAAGCACTATTTAGGCCATCATCAAGTTCAGCCACAAAATTGGCACTGAAAAATTCAGCGAAAAGATTAATTATTTCATCGGTGAGAACGGTATATTCGATTTCGAGTTTTGAGATTTAATAAAATTCCAAAAGGCTTTGGGGTTACGGTTTATATTATGTTCAATATTACGTATAAATCTACTGTGAAGGGTTTTAACAAGATTCCTCAATTCGGCTAAGTGCCGTTTGTTCAAGTTAAGTTGTTCATTATTATTGGATGCCTTATATTTTTTATAGACCTTAGTGTAGCGATTTTTTAAGTGCTTAAGCTCCTTAGTGTACCAGGGAAGCTTGTACTTTCTGTTAGGCAAAACAGGTATATGCTGTAGACACAGACCAATCATTTCAGATTTAAATAATTGAAAACGCTCAGAGACATCTAAGTTATCAAACATGGAGATCCAATCAAACTTAATAGCTCAGTTATGCATACTTAGGCTTTCTGCACATTGGTCGTCCAATCATAGTTGCTTCATCGTTGCAATCATGATGCAACGATTACATGACGACTACACTTTCGCACACCCGGTCGTGATATTTCAATTCATTTGGCGTCTAAAAATTTACTTGGAGCAGGTATTTTCTGGTTGATATTTTCACGAAAAATTTACAAAAACCTGCAATTTTTAAAATATAGACTGTGGTGCACCAATTCTAGACATAATTTTTCAATAACATCTCTTCTTTTCTTTTCCTGAAATGTGTTTTGTGCATGCACACAGAGACTTTTTACAATTTCGTCATATTTTATAGTTAAAACGCTCAAATTTATTGAATTTTAATGCAATTATCCACTTTTTAATAATTTTCACAGATTTTATGCAAAAAATACTAATTTTTATGCAATTTTAATGCAAATATTAACTTTTTCACTAATTTTTCCTTATAAAATGTAAACAAACAATACGTGCACAACGATTAGCAAA